GACCTTGCCATACTCAGTAGTGAGCGGGCACGAAGTGTAGCCATCGTACTTGGGCTCGGGCTCCTCGCCCTCGATAGCCCGTAACAGGTTGCTGACCAGAACGGGGGCCTGCGATGTCACCGCTGCCGCAGTCTTGGAGGTAGGCAAGCTGGAGGCATCACCAGACGACCAGACATTGTGGTACTTGGTGTGGCGGGTAGTAGCTTGATCGACTTCAACGAAACCAGCCGCATCGGCCAGAGGGCTGTTCTTGACGAAAGCATGAGGGCCCATCTTGGGCACCACGTGCAACAGGTCAAACGGCTTGGTGATTTGGTTTCCATCAGGCCGAGCAAATACCGCAGTGTTGCCATCAACGGCAACCAGGTCATGCTGGAAAAGGCCCTCGACTCCTCTCTCCTTCCTCAATTCTTCGAGCTTGGCGCTGTACTTTGGAACACCGAACATGGCAGGGATACCGGTGGCAAAGCTAATTTTGATCGGCGATGCAGTGTTGCTGGGATCGTACAGGCCGGCACGCTTCCAGAAATCCAAAGCAAGCCACATAACCTTCTGCGGGGCACCGGCGCACTTAATAACACCGGCAGGCTGCGTGAAGATGGCATTGCCCTTTTCAAGTCTCTGAATAGTGCGGAACACCTTGTCGCAAGTTTCGTAGCCATATATGGTCGAGACAAGCGAGTTGGGGTTGGCAAGGGCCTCGGGAAGACCCTTAATGCTTCCATAATCAATCTTGATACCAGGAGCCACAACAAGCTGCTCATATCCCAGCTTATCGCCATTGCCCAGCTCAATGGTGTTCTCTTCCGGGTTGAACGTGCTGACGCTCTGCTGGTAGAGCTTGAGCTTCGGGTCAACCAAGCTCTCGAGAGGACGCTTCAAGTCCTCCTTGTTCTTGACGCCACCGCCAACAAGAGTCCATCCGGGCTGGTAGTGATGCCACGTAGCAGGATCAACGACGGCGATGTCATCCTGAGAGAACTTTCCGGTGTTGAGGAGTTGGTGACTAATTGCCAGACCAGCACTGCCGCCACCAACTACGACAACCTTGTGGCTGCGGGAAGGGGGAACCACGGGAGCAGCCTTCACTGAAGTGGGCTTCTCGGAGGAGGCCTTCTCGGGACTAGCTGCGGCGGCGGCGGGCGCAGCCTTATCTTGGTTAGGAGAAGCAGCGGTCTTCTCAGCAGGGGCAGAAGCTGTCTGCTCGGAGGATGCTGCTGGGGCCGGCGTTTTCTCAGGAGTTGATGCCGAAGTGGTGGTGGCCTTCTCCGCAGCCTTTGCGGCGGCAGCCGGCTTCTGGGGATTTGAGACCTTCTCAGCTGGTGGCTTTTCGGGAGAAGCTCTGGCAGCAGTCTTGGACGCGAAACCACGCATCACGGGGGCGTTGCGGGCTGCCATACCGGCACGGCAGGCATGGCGAGCTGCGGATGTCACGCGCGTCGAAAACATTGTTGGCGCCTAAAGGAGAGGTTGGTTTGCGATGAGGTTGCGGAAGGAGCGGTTGGAAAGATGGCGCAAGACGACGACGATGGTTGAGCGGCGTAGGAAAAAAAACCGGGGTCCAGTAGCCTGGAGAAATTGAAAACGCCGCACCGACGATCACATAACGGTGTGACAGGTGGGCTGATCTCCATTTATTCCTATCGCAATTGGCCAATGGCACAACGTGGGAGAGCTGCCGCCCCGACTGCCGACAGCCGTCCGCAAATGCCGGAGAACTGCCTCACGTCCCCGACGGTGACGTGATGTTGTGCTTCGGGAACCACTCCGGTCATCCGGCTGGTCGGCGAGCTGGTCGCCGAATGAATCTGCAGATCCCCGACCGGCACGCGGAGCGGCGGAACGTTGTGGAGCTCGTCGTCCGATATCCAACTCCCTTCATAAAAAGTTCCACAATCGCGTCACCGTCCATCTACCAGCTGCAGCATTTCTCATGGCACAACAGCTCTGTGAAATTCTCCTCCACAATTCATCTGTCCCACGCATCATGAAAGCTTTCCGGTCACATTTGCGTCTCACTTCCTCAACTGCCGGTCAGGCATCTCGATCCCTCATACGACCCGTTGAACGCCTTGGCGTATTGCGGAAACGACTGGAATACCACGCATCATGCGCTCTTCACTCTTCACGAACACCAATCACCGGCGCATGCGGCAGAGCGTTGTTGAATTCTGTTACCACACGCAGAACACTGTCTACTATTCCTGAAGGTGGCGTCAAACAGTCATCAACTTCCGGTGACAAGGGCCGTAGTGCCCAAACCCCCGCCCAGGGACAACCAGTGATTCACGACCTATTCGAAACCAAGACCGGCACATGGCAATACGTCGTCGCTGATCCCTCGACACGAGAAGCTGTTGTAATCGACCCAGTTCTGGACTACGATCGAGAAACACAGGTCATCAGCACAGTCGCTGCCGACCAAATCCTATCATTGGCCAAAAACCAGGACTACACAATTGTCAGAATTCTTGAAACTCATGCCCATGCTGACCATCTCACTGCCGCGTCATACCTCCAGCATTGCTTGGAGTCAGAGCATGGGCATAAGCCGACCGTCGGTATTGGAAGACGAATCGGTCAGGTTCAATCACTGTTCGGTCAAAGATACGGGGTTCCTCAAGATGAACGTCAAGGGGCATTTGACACGTTGTTTGAAGACGACGAAGTTTTCAGCATTGGTAACCTTCAAGCCGTTGCTCTACATCTCCCCGGCCATACTCCTGACCATTTGGGCTACAAGATTGGAGGTAGGATCATTCGGCGGCCTCTCGTCCTTCGGGGTTTTGCTGATCTCACCTTCAGACAACGTTTTCTGTGGCGATTCTCTATTCCACGTGGACATTGGCACCGCTCGGTGTGACTTTCCAGGTGGCAGCGCCAAAAACCTTTATTATTCGGGCCGCAGGCTTCTAAGTTTGCCTGACCACGTCAAAATTTGGACCGGCCATGACTACCCACCGGAAGGTCGCGCTGATCCCGTGCCTTGGATGACAGTTCACGAACACCGAGCACAGAATAAACATTTGAGAGATGGCATCACCGAAGAGGAGTTTGTGGCTCAGCGGAAAAAGCGTGATGCCAGCCTTGGGGAACCAAAGCTGCTACATCAATCACTACAGACCAACATCAGAGCTGGACGTCTCCCGAAGCCCACGGAATCAGGGCATCGGATGCTACGGTTACCTCTAAAGCTTGGGGGTTTGCAGTGGTGAGGATTTCTCCGGCATACAAAACGCGGGTAAGGTATGCTCAAGATATGGCTATTTTTCTTGTTGCTTATTTCTGTTTGTTTTTTCCCCTTTTTGCTGTAGATGTTTTCTGCATGTAATGATTGTTTGGGTTTGCTAAGTTGGTGATCGTAACCCCGGCTGCCCATCGAGACAAGTAGTCCGAGCCTTTCAATTGGTTCGAGCAAAGAAGATGAGCATAAAGAATTATTGCTCATGGGCGATCTCAGTACCCAGATTACTAGACTTTGGTGATACGGATGGCAGACATTGCTACGTGCGTTAATAATCGTGGGGTAATGCGTAAGACCTTAGTCTTGCACGGGACTTTCTGCCCCTGGTGCCTGAACTTATTCGACTTCCAGAAGAGTCACTGACCCTTAGGTTGGCCCTGCCTCAAACCACGGGGACGAGCACGCACAAAGAGCTTCGATGGGATGAGTGCCCTCGGCAAATACATGTAACGGGCACAGTCTGACACGTGCTTGACACGAGAACTGTGTAAGGGAGGGTCCATCCACAGTGAAACGTTGTCTGCCAAGTGGAAAAGGGGGAGGGAGATCATCAAGCCCAACGTCATGGATGGTCGAATCTTCCTAAAATTTCAAAGAGAGTTTTCATGCTTCTTCATTCTGGCTTCCATTGTTTGTTTCGCAGCGCCAACTTGTAATTCCTTGGTTGGGTTCTTGCCTTACAAGACGAGCGTCAATTTCTGCTCTGCGAACCCGAAGCGCAACCGCGCACGCCGTTTCCTCGGTGATTACGAGTCCAAATGCAGTGCATGTCAAAGCTGTAACTCAGAGGTCATATACTGCAAGTGAAATCAAGGCCAAGGAATGGCCAGTGTTATGAACTCGAAGTTCGTCTCACCAACGGCCCTACCAATAGACGCGGACCCGTCCGTGAGACGGAAGAATTAAGAGAGCCGCTCACCTTTTTATCAAATCATCCGTCACAGATTTCGATCCGACTACCCGAAACAAACTTTTGTCCATGCGCTGCCGATTTGCTGAAGCTGAGTTTTGGCCCCTCTCTCCGCCGCATTCGTTTCACATGCCGGTCCAGACATCAGATGAGAACTGATCCCACACAAAGAAACTCAGTCATCATCCATGCGCCGGCTAGATTGCCGGGGGATGGAACCTCATCAACATCGGATTGAGCCAGCGATCCTCGAGTACGAATGAGGGGACACGTCATGCCCACTCCAGACGCCCAGGCGAATGTCCGCCCAGAGATTTCAGTGTGTGGGAACAAAACCCCTCTCGTCCGCTCTTTGACACTTTCATCATCAAACCTCACGCACGAATTACTCGGGGAACCATACAAAGACCGATGCAGACTGGGCGAAGTTGGCACGACGGGTGACTCGCGTTCTCCAATGCCTGCTGGTCAGCCCTGATTGCGCGCTCTCCCCAAGTAATTGATCGACCTCGAATGCCTGCGTCCCACCTCTAGAACAATTTTACGATCGCATCATCCTCGAGAGACGAGAAGCCTTCGGCATAATTGAATGGGATCAGTCTACTAATGAGCCGGAATTATGAAGCTGCGACGATTCCAGTGCTGTCGCCAAGATCGTCGCCGAACCCTCCTCCCCCGCAAACGGCTGCGCGAATTTATCCCGTCCTGTCGCTGATTTCGGTAATTCTTTTGTTCCTTTCTGCTGGAGCTGGTATTGCTCTGTCTGCAGTGGTACTGTTTCGGAACTTCGAATCGATTGAAGTTCTGGATCCTTTGAGTCGAGCTGTTTTCTTCGTCGCCTCTTGTATGAGTCTTGCATACGTGCTCACACACATCATCGCTGCCAGAACTGCTTACATCAAAAATAATGGATCTCCAAAGGCGTATGGGAAATACGTTGCAGGCTTGGCGTTCTTACTGGCTCGACTGGGCCTTCCGGTTTGGGTTGCGGCAGTTACCCTTGCGATAATTGTTGCGGTAAACATTGGATTGGACGTGTCGAAAGGAATCCAGGAGAACCTACCATGGCTGAATGTCATAATCAGCGTGGCTTCTCTGTAAGTCACCACGACCGTTCTCGATCCACTCATATGGAATATCTGTGCTAACAGAAAGGCAGACTGTCATTGATTGCAATGCTTGCAGTCATTGAGATGGCTGAAAGACCATTCGCAACGATAGGCCTCTCACAGCCTTGGTTCGTTCGTGGAGATCATCCATTCACTGCCCCAGACGAGGAAGACATTGACTATGGGCTTGTTGAAGTTGTATCTATGGTGAAAGATGTCAAGTTGCCGCCAACTGCCAAACAGATCAAAGCAAGGAAGATGCTCTCAACTATCCAGGAAAAGAAGGAGAAAAAGCCTGAAAAGCGGAAACGAAAGTCGTTGACGAAGAAGAATCCTTACGAAGCGCAGCTACAGCGCCAACGACAGCAGCAGGAACAAGAACAACACCGAACCCTGTAAGTTGCTTGATCAGCCAGTTTGACGCGGAAGCCTAACCAAATTGCCCAGACGCCATGCAAGGAGTATGTCCATGCCGACTCCACTTAACGCTGTGTTCGGCGACAGCCCGGAACCTCGGCTGCCAGACTCGCCCGGTTTGCATACCGCATTCGCATGGAAACCACCGACGAGAGAGGGAACTCCACGTGTCGCTGGAGCTGTGACATTTGAGGACCTCGGCGCATGGAGAGATCGAGTCAGTCTTTATCAAACGGCGTCGGATATTTCAACCAGCGCCTCTGCGCCATCTGACGATGTCATTCTTCCATCCATGCCCCGCCAAGCCCATTATTCTCCTCGCAGTCAAGCCTTGCTGCTAGACCAACAGCAGAAGTACGATTTGAGGCGATGGACAGCAATTGGCATGCAGTCCCCTCCATTTGATGGTCGCTTCTTGGATGTTCCCTTCAAAAGGCCCCCTACACCTCTTATGACAATGGAGGATGAGCACAGGATGCTAGGAAGGAGACCTTCAACAAGAGACGGAGATTGGGAGGCAAATTACCACTTGAGAATGCATCAGAACAGCCGACCTTCGAGCTCACACACGTCGAGAACGGCGCGATCATCCATGACCTCTCGGACTGGTTTCACAATACGTGATGAACCTCCGTCACTTCCACCCATTGCCACTGTCTCATCTCTGGTCATAGCGAGCACCATGAACGAAGTCAAGAAAACGAACACGAATAGTATTCGACCTGACAGCGATGTATTGCCAAATGAAGGGCGCAGACGCCGTCGGCTTTCCAATGTTAGCGAGAAGCGGCGTCAGACGTACAGGACGGACAGCCGGTCACTTTCGCAAACTTACCGCCCGTCCAGCCGATACGTTTCTACAATATCGCAAGAAACCCGTCCTACGAGTCCAACAATGACGATTAGGTCTGCAAGGTCAGGCAGATCTGATGTTCACAATTTCTCTCGACCTCGAACTTCTGCAGCTGCAAGAATGCAATCTAAGGTGGCAAAACGGCTGCGAGCCATGAAAAATCAGCAGCAGCAACAGCAGCAACAATTGGTGCTGTCAGTGACACGCCGCTCGGTGGGAGGAGAGACATCCTCTTCCCCTAGTACGCCAGGGACCCCTAATACACCTCGGACTATGAGAGCAGCGGCAGTCAAGACTTTGCAGGAGAGACTTGGCCGAAGAAACCAGCAACAACTGCCAACTGATGGGGAGCAAAGGCCGCCTTCACCAGAAACACCACGAACGGCAAGGGCTACTGCTGTGAGAACTCTGCAAGAGAGGCTAGGCAAGAGAATGATGCGGCGTAATGAGGCAGAGGCCGCGCAACTACAACATGTATAACTTGTCACGAATTATAATGACATAGAACTGTACTACTATTGTTGTCATTGGTAATAAACAAAATATCCGATTGATCAACGCGGCTGATGGGTCACTTTGCGCACATGATCAAACGTTAACTAGAAGGTACGATGACGCTGATGAAATTCTACTCCTGTCAACGTGACGAAATGTGAGTATATCTCTGTTTTTCGGTTTTCTTTATCGTACTATTTGCCCCATGAATGCTCTCGCTAATACGCTCAATAGCCTCCAGGGCCTTCGTGATATCCAACGTAAACCCTGCAATGAAATTGATACAGACCCAAGCCAATGAGAGCTGACACATAAAAAGGAAATGCTGCAGGTGAAGAGACTAGCTCTTCATATGCGGTCACAGACCGCTCCTGCTAGACCCCGCAATAGTAGCACTATTCCCGCTGGTTGTAGTACTCTCTTTCTTCCAATGACGCTTTCTCCCTCTCGCTTGTGTAATTCCTGTCCCACAAGGCGGTCTCAAGTCTTTCATATACAACGTCGATATCCTCTAGCACTTCGTCATCGACCTCACGATCCTCAACAAGCTTCCACCCAGCCCGAGCAAACCGTCGACGAGCCTTGTTGTTCATACCAACAATGCGCAAAGCCATTTGCTTTCCCACGTATTGTTTTACCTCCTCTTTCAACTCGGCCAGTGTTTGAACTCCGGTAACGTCAACAAAGGGCACATGCGTGAGGTCCCACACCATCACCGTCATCTGCTTGTTCGACGGTACCACATTGTTACGCTTCCGCAGCATCTCAATGCGCTTGGCCGATGCAACACTCCATGACCTATCGGATGACTTTTTCCCTTGTTGCTCAGCCGTCATCCTCGGTTCAAATTGAACTTTGACAGACTCAATGACGGACTTCTTAACACGGCCTGCGTTGGGGAAGAAGATGGAGTCGGTAAAGCTGATAAGCATAGCGTCGTCGGGTACAAAGGCATCATCGGGAGCTGACGCTGGTGCTGTCATAGTTCGCGGGACCATGTTGCTCTTACCACTCGTCGGGGAGAATGTCTTGACTTTCGGGAAAGCTGATCGAACAAGGGTGTACCCGATACTGAATACGACCGCGAACGCAATGCCCATTTCGGTGGAAACAAATAGAGTAACCCAGAATGACAACATGGAGGCGACGAAGTCAGGAAAGGACATGCGCCAATATCTATAAAATAGGGATACCGGACCGATGATATGAATGACAGCCATAATCTATAGCGATTCTTGTTAGCAGGCTCCCAGTGGAACAGAAAAGAGGGAACCACATACAATGATTGCGGATAGAGTCGCCTTCGGAATCCAGAATAGTGCCCCAGACAGCTTGTAAAGCGTCAAGAGAATAAAGCCAGCAGTAAAAGCACCACTCATAGGGCTCTTAACTCCACATTCCGAGTTCACTGCCGTTCTTGACATGGCTCCTCCGACGCTCATAGCACCGAACAGGCTGTTGATTGTGTTTGTTACCCCAAGGTAGCATAGTTCCTGGCTTTCATCAATGGCATAGTTGTTCTTACGCCCAAATGCCTTTCCAATTGCCAAATGCTCTAGAGCCGAGGCTACTAGGGGTGCGATTGCTCGTGTCGTGACCTTGGAAACCAAGTCGGTGGCGGGCATCCTCGGTGCTCGAAGCCCATTTGCCTTAACTTTGCTGATTGCCCAGAGAGGTGTCTTCTTATCTTTGTTCACGACGAAACTGATCGTCGTAAAGATGAAAAGAATAATGACGGCACGGCTGCTGCAGATGAATTTGAGAACAGCACTCTTCTTTCCCCAACGCTTGCCAATGAACTCCAAAGCGTAGAGCAGTATAATGCCGCTGAATCCAATGGCTATGGTGAGAGGTTCCATCTCAGGGATGCGACTGAACACGTTATTGATGATGCTGGCAGTACCGGACGGGACATCGCTGAGGCCAACCAGAGATCCGACTTGGCCGAGAAGAATGGTGAGAGCCGCAGCTGATAGGAATCCAGACAGGACTGGAACTGAAATGTAATCGAGAACAAACCCAAGCTTCAGCAGTCCCACCATCAGAGAGTATATACCAACCATCAAGGCCACAGCGGATGAAATATCCTCAGGTGCGAAGCCTTCTGACTTGAGATCTCCGATGATTTCTGCAGTGAGCAGGCCCATGATAGACGTTGGCCCCGTGGATAGATCTGTCATATGAACCTGTTAGCTCAGATAGAAGCTAGGGGGCGCGTTTGGCCTTACCCTTTGATGTTCCCATGAACACGTATATCGCTGCAGGAAGCCAGCTAGAGTATAGACCGAACTCTCCAGGGATGGTGGCAATCTTAGCGTATGCAAGCGCTTGGGGGATCATCATGACCCCGATGGTCATACCAGCAATGAAATCTGATAGAATCCATTTCGGGTCATATTGAGTAGCCCATTGTACAATTGGGACTTTCTCGATGAGGTATTGGCCAGTTGCTGAAGGAATCCGGGGCAATGCGGCGCCAGCCTTTCTCCTTATGGTGTTAATGGTACTGTCTGTCTCGAAATCAGACTTGGCCTTTTCAATAAATTTCATGTTGAGGTTCAACTGAGACTCTGCACAAAAGATTCAAATTTTCAAGGGCCATAGAAATGATATGAGTAGTTGTTCAAGCGCCTGGGGAAACTCTGTACGCTATCTTTGCGCCGTGGCATAGATCCTCTTTATCTGATCTCCTGTCTCAAGGCGGGTTTCTTGCCGCGCGATCAGACACGCTGACTTGGCTGATAGAAGCCGAGAACGACTTCCTAGAAGGGTAGCGCATTGGGATGACTGATCTCATGCATTAGACTTTAGAGTGCCAGCTGCGGCGAACCGCCGGCAAGGGCATCCCCCGTTCTCGACGTCGTTCCTACGCTGCAAGATTAAAATAACAAGTTGTGAGTGTCTAACTTGGCTCATCTGCCCTATCATTGGTCTGCAACCTGCCTTAGACAGATGTCGCCCTTAACTTATTTCTGACAACAAATGAGGCTTAGGTCGCGCGAGAGAAAGGAATACCAACCGCGGGATCTTCATCATCTAGCTCCGAATCAGATCCGTCTCCGAATCCTGTGTCAGGTCTCGGCACTTGGTCTATTCGAGATATTTTATCCGGTGTTCCTATACTGTCGATATTACCTGCTCATGGGTGATCGCTTTGGACTAGCTCTTAACAGAGATCAATCGATAAAACGCCCGGGTAGTTTGGGTATCCCCTGCACGGGGGCAACCGAACGGTATAAGCCGCGGTACTATACAGGATGACTCTGACTCGGGAGAGAGGGCTTAACTGGTTCAAGCTTCAGATGAAACAGGGTGCCCCGGCCATGAGGTAAGATAGCGGGACACTGCGCCCACTTCTTCGAGAGGTCCACGCCAAAGAAACATGTCGGAACGGGAGCACTGCAAACATGGCGGGGCATCTTTCAGCTGGTGTGAATCAATGATGTCAAGGTACGACCGTTGTTGTTGTTGGTTGTTGCTGGAAGTCTTACTTCCGAGTGGGATGCCCTAGTGCTTGGGGCCATATTACCTGCCCGAACAACTTGAGACGGGATCAACATCATTATTTTTGGACATTCTCGGCAATCAATAAAAACTTCGTCCAGTAAACAGGTGCCAGTTGAACGGCACACAAATACGTTTGAAAAAGAATGGGCGAGGGCTCCCGTGAGGTACCATCGGGCAGTTTTGATACATGACAACACCGAAAATAGGACAGTTTGTCGGCAAGTGGATTACGATTGTCTGCCCAAGATTGACAAGCAGAGTGGCATAGCAAGCAGTGGACTAGATACTAGACAAGACGGGAAGCAAAATGAAACTTTTTCAAACCTCATAGTCCTTCATCTAGCATGACTGTACTAGAAAAGAGAAGCCTTCATTTCACTTCCACCTGAACGTGGCTGCTGCGTTCAGTGACTTTGCGTTTGCGCGAGAGCGTCTGTCATCAGCCTCATTCTTAATTATCAGCCAAAGCTTTTTGATCTCAATTGCCCAGGAAGTTGCGTCCTGCGCAACGTGGACAGATTAACTCAGCTTTGGCTGGTACGTGCGAGGGTGCGTCCCGAACGAACTCCAGAACGCCGAAGAACGCCGTTTGGCTGAGATCCTCCAGGGTTTGCAAGTTATCCTAAGCAGGGCCAATTGGATCTTGCGGGTAGCAGCCTGGGTGACTGATCTCAAACTCAGCCATTGCAGGAGACGAGTGACAGCATTGCGACATCGATATCATCCGAGACTTTGATCGAGCATAAAAGCTTTCAGCAGCTAGGGGCCGGAATACTACGTTATGTAGGCTGGTCCCTTGCCCATGTATCCGCAGCAAAAAGAGAGTCGGCTGGGATGTTCACTTTGAGGATGGGAAAGGTGTGCCCTTGCTGCGCCCCGATGTCTGAGCGAGTTGCCTCGCTGGAGGGTCGATTTTACTGGTGCCATCAGACAACGCAGAATCAATTGCTACCACGGCAAATACAGTGGAACACTTCTAGACAGCCTCAGGGGCGCAGAGGAACGAACGCTACACGGCATGGCTGCACCGAACGTTGGATGTCCCTTGATCTGTATTCATGGGCACTAAAAGACTTGGCTATGCCAAGCAGCCAGGTATTGATCTTTGCGCATCAGTCAGCTTTCGATTAGCCCCCGCGCATCGTGTTTGCTGGCTTCCCCTGATCTGCCCCTCTTGTTGAAACATTTTCGCATCCTTTCAGCTGCGGGACCTAAAAGCCCCATGGTGCGGCGGGCAATAGGCTACGGGCGATCGTCCTTAAGCGCCGCTAGCAAAACGCGGGGATTCAGCATGGTGAAGCTGGAAGGTGTCACCCCAGGCTCAGCCAGGCCAGGCCAGGCCAGTGTGCGACTGGGAGCTATCGCTGCAGGTATTGGGTGACAAGGATATCGATTGTAAGTTGGCGTTTCGCATGAGAAAAATATATGATTCAGCTCATATTGCCGTGGCTATTGTTGAAGATCCGCTGGTTGAGAAGCAATTGGCTGGGGCGAGTCCGAGTCGAAGCGTGTCGTGCTGCCAGTTGGATCAAAATACTGGTGGAATGTGGGGGAGGTCGCGGCTTTTGGTGAGTGAGTCTCGGTGAAGTCGGGTCCGGGTGTTATGTGGGATTACCTCTTGTGCCAGTGAGGTGACGTGACTAGGCGCGGAGGCGGTGAAGAAGTGTAAGACACGGCCCGAGTGCGATGGATTCGTGGCGACGTCTGCGTACTTGTGCACATTCCGCCTTGTTCTTTGGGGTTTTGCCTTTCATACTTATCCATCCTCGTTCGATTCATTCGATTCTGATTTCGCCTGAATTGTGTGAAATGCATCCGTCGACGGTGCAACGGTCTCTCCACAAGCCTCTCGTCCTACATGTGAACCAGGCAATCGGGAGCGGAGCGACTGAAATGACATCATGCCGCAAGGGGCTTGAAATGCTCGATTGATTGGCAATCGGCTGGGCCATTTTCACAGCCTGCGCTCTGCATCTTGAATTCGTATGACAATCCGCAAAAAAAGGCCTGCGCTGCTAGGCCTCTAGCTCAGTCGCCCAGCAATCATATCTCGGAGTGGACACAAACCGCGTCAGTTGCTGGACCACAGAACGTGACCCCGATCTCATCGGGCTGAACAACACCGTGTCTTGCTATGACGCTGGGCATCACGTGAGCGGGCGGGTCACCGAGCCAATCACACGCGGAGATGCTGCGACCAACTTGCTACCTTGTTGTTCTGCCGTGCTGCCTTCTCTTTCGTCACCTCAGATCTTCCTTCGGCATTCATTGATAAATTGACATGATGGAATCGGTGGCTTCCTCGTCTGCTAATCTCTTTATCGACAATCGCAACATTTGAGCACCATGTCGCGAAAATTAGCACCGTTGCTACCAGCCGTCGACAGTTCGGGGCTGTCGCCTTTCGACATTTCGCGCGAAGATCAGGCGAAGAGGAAACGCGTCGGTACAGACATTGCCTGCAATCCATGTCGTAAAAGAAAGACACGCGTGAGCTGGGACTTGTCGTTCATCCTTCATTGTCGCTGCTAATCCCTGATGGCGTTGATTTTGTAGTGTGATGGATTGCGTCCAGCCTGCCAGGCATGTCTCAAACGATCAACCGAATGCATATACGTCGAAAAGAAGGAGGGAACGAAGACCGCACAGTCGCCCGAGGTCCTCCAAGAGCTCTTCGATCTCATGCGAAGTGTTCCAGAGGATCAGGCTTTGCAAATGCTCTGGTCACTGAGGTCCAATGATGACCTGGCTTCGGTTCTCGCTGCCGCAAAGGCCGGCGTGCGCAAAAAGACCCATCCTCCCGATCAATCCTCGATGAGATCAAAGCTGCCAAAAGAATCATCTTTGGAGCTAGAGCTGATGGTCAAGAACCCAACCGCCTACCCAAAACCCAAATTGTCCCTCACGGCATTGGAACGTGCCGGCCTGCTCGGTCCCAAAAGGCTCCGCCGGTCAAAGTCCCTAGACCACCAGTATGTATGTCCCGTCGTGCTCCAATCTGCTGCTATGCAGCTTCGTATGAGGCTGACGTTCCCACCGATCCCACATGGACCTAAGTCCTGAGCCTCATGGCAATCTGGCGTCCGTCAAAAGCACGATCATTGGGCCCGTGAACGGCTCATTCGGTCGCCGGTATGATCCTGTTCATTTGAATGGACGTTCAGATTCAGCCTCGGCCCAACAAGCGTCTCCTGAGCTATGCGATCCCCGCCTCCATCATCTTAAAATCAGCTTCTGGACAGACGTGCCTATCACAGACGACTATGCGAAACAAGTGATATCATTGTACATGATGACAGACCATCCTTTGTTAGGCGTCTTCGACCCGAGTCTGTTTATTACCGACCTTGTAGACCAGAAAGATACACACTGTTCTCCTCTTCTTGTTAACTCGCTGTTGTATTGGGGATGTGTAAGTAAAAGGGGCTCGAATTCCTGTCTGAAAATCGCCGAAGAGTTACTAACAGTAGATGGATGAAAAATTAGCAAATGTATACTGCCATTGAGGAGAGTGCAAAAAAACTTGCAGAATCGTTCTGCAAAGAAGCAGAAAGGCTGTGGTTAACCCAGAAGAATAATGATTCACTGCTCAACGCGGCCAGCTCTCAGCTGTTGAGTCTTGCTTACTTGGGACAGGGGAAGGATCATTACGTACTCAAATATCTTTCCACTGCTCTGCGTATGGGCACTCGCTTGTGCCTGTTCGGGGTCGAGGCGCCGCAAGCAATAAACAACATCAAACGGTTGTCACCAGAGATGCAAAGAGCAAGCTCATTCACCGCATGGGGGGTGTTTAATTGGGGAGTGTGCGTGTGTCTTTGCCCCGATTTGCCTTAATCCCAGCAGCTAACAGTGTAGACTCATGGCCCTATTTTATCAACAACCCGGGCTGGAGTACCCTGGTCATCCGCCGGTACTTTCAATTCCAGGGGTTTTAAGATCGGATTCTCCTAGCCCTGGATCGAGTAGCCCGCGTGCCGATCCTTCGGAAGCACTTCCTCCATACATGGGCAGCACCTTTTCTACATTATGCCAGTTCTGGCGCATCCTTCACGGCGTCACATTATCCTACTATAAGGACAAGCCGACTTCGTTAACCGAGCACGCGTCGATCGATTTTGCGGAGTTCAAATACCGCGAGCTCCTGGCGTGGATAGAAGGACTACCATCTGACCAGGCCTTGAAAGATCATTCCCCTCACCATGTTGTTGTTTTGCAGTACGAGCCCTACTTTATTCCAAATCTTTCACGATGATACTGACGCTTTTTCACCAGCATCTGGTTCCATGCCGCCATTCTGGACCTCTTCCGACCCTTCCTACATAGCACCGCCCGCGAACGACAGCGCCTCAAGACATTTTCTGCTCGCCGCAGCTATCCTGAAGCAGCATTCAACGCCTCTGTCAACCAGTTGAAGCAACTTGTTGTGAGGTATCGGTGCAATTACGAGTCTTCCGCCTACACAATGCTTTGGCAGACGGCCTTGATATACGTCGCAAACGCGGTCCTTCACAACACTGAGGATCCCGAATGGCGACTTTATTTTCTGGCTTGTATATATGGATACGAGGGTTTGAGAACATCATACCGGGTTGCCGAAGTCATCTCTCGAGGACTATTAACCATGTCGCTCCAAGAGGGCGACATATCTGGCAGCGAGGCACGGCATTTGCTCAAGCAAGTGACTGAACCCGAGGGCGCCGGCGGCAAGGGCGATGTGAGAGCTACTTTTATGGCAGATCTTGATTTAGCGATGACTGATCCTGAGGCGGCGAAGGTGGAGAATTTGGCCAAAAGGTTCGAAGATATGGCTTTATTTAGCGACTTCACGACCATGGACGATGAAGAGGCACGGAGGTTCCAACGGATAGAAACACCAGATTGAGCGGAGTGAAACACGTCTGCATTAATATTATCTATTCAGCTGACTCTGGCTGACCAATTGCTTCCCTCCTCCTTCGCGTATAAATATGTGCAAGAAAGACCCAAACTCCGTGGTTGTCCCAGCCAACCTTCTCAATCCTAGAACCTACAACTCTTGATTAGTCAACGCCCGGATGTGGAATACAACGTGACACTTACGAAAAGCTTTCATTATAGAACCAGACCTCTTCAGCTGCGGCCTTTCCTTGCATGATGCGTTGCTGTGCAGTTGCAGCGCATTGCCTTAAATCAAAGACCATAGAGGATGGTCCACAGACGACCATGCCCACTGTCCCTTGCTTCTCGGTTGTTGCTTGCGCAATCAATGGAATGCTCGGCCGTCCTGTCAGGGATTGAATATTGATCGGACCCGTAGTAACACTTCCTTTCGTCGAGACGGCCGTTGAGTGATCCATGACTTCTTTATCATTTGGCGTTCCGGGCTCGGACGCGGAGGGTAAAATTTGGCTTGACGGGCTAGTCTCATGAACCTTGACAACCACACGCATCGCCTTGATGTCTTCCGTCGCAGCATGCCGTTCGGCAATATCGTTCAAAGCTTGGCAGTACCACTCTCGGAAACCAGGATCTCTTGAAACCACAACCACCTCGAGTTCCGATCCGACGTAATGTCTTTCCATGAAGTGTTCAATCATTGGCAATGAGAATCCAGCACCGGCTCCACCAGCAACAACCAGTGTTTTGTCAAAGCCTTTGAACCATCTGCTGGTCACCCCTCCGTAAGGTCCGTCGAGAAGAACAGGTACTGACATGCCAGGAGATTTCTCTGCAAGCTTTGCCAATCTACCAGTTATTCCGCCTCTGGGTTGCAAGTAAAAGACCATTTGACTGCGTTTACCACGCTGAGGAACCGAAGAGATAGTAAACGGGTGCGCGGTGAGTGCATGGAGGCCGCATGTTAGGAAGCGTAGGTACACGTGTTGTCCAGGGGTCCACTTCGTATTGGTCTCAATGGTGACCATAAGAGAGTCTTGTGTAGCCTTGGAAAGACGTGCATGGCTGACCCCATGTTCCATAAAGGTCTTGAACTGCGAATAGAACCAGGAGAGCGAATAGAGGACGGCAGTAGCAATAAAGTAGTCCCAGGACGTAAGACGGAAGTCGCAATGAATGAAGAAGAAGATGAAAAAGACCGCAGCAGCAAAGAGATGTGTTGCCTTGAAGAATTCGTAATACCGGTCGCTTAGGTGGCGTCCACGAGTTAGCTTCACTTCCAGAAGAATTCAACAACCCAGGCAACAGTAACGTACCGGATCCAACGAATAGACATGAAAGTTAGCCAGGCCTGCGCTATTAGAGCAATAACACCGGTAACCCATATTCCTCCATCATTGAATGACTTCACAATGTCTCCCTTCCAGACATGAAACACGATGAACGGGAATGTGTGAACAAGGGCGAGAGCGAACATGGCCCATGCAACCCAGTTGTGCCATAGATTGAGCTTCTCATGTGATATCCCGGTAAGGGTCGAAATCGGGTTTGCTTTGGCGCCGAGGATGCTACAGCTGTCAGCCTTTCTTGTCGGGATACATGATCGCACTTGAGACCACCTACAAGAGGAACGGCATACACGCCAGTGCCATGTACCCAGCTCGCGTGGCAATAGGTGGTGAGTTGCCGAAGCTGATCTGCCTAGTGTTTGGCCAGTAGTAGGGCCGGGGACCTAGAGTCATGGCTAACACCCACTAAGTCAGTCAAACAAACTCCTTCGTCGTCTGAATGGTAAAGTCAGAAGGGTACCTAAGAAGAATACAGCACCCGCAGCACCAAGAATATAGGCTGCCAAAGACTGCGTATTCCATGACCCCATGCGCCAACTTTTGTAAGAGATGAATCGCCCAAAAGACAAGAAACGCAGCCAGGACGAGTTGCGTCTTATCCGTTCGGGGGCGTAGGTTGATGTTAGGTTACCGATAGCGACGATAAGAATGGCTGTGAGGAAGAAGGCGATTGTTGGAAGGCCATATCGATGGTCGGCTTCGTACCAGAAAACCCAGTATGAGGTTTTCAAAGCGCATTGTTCTGGCGTCATGGAGCACATGCCAGCGTCACGGCTTGAGTGCAGCAAGACCGGCTGGTCCAGCCATGGGAGAGACATGTTGATCGTCCTCTTCGGTGATGAAAAATTCCGTGTAGATTGAAGAACGCGCCGAACAGCTGTCACCAATACCAGCGAGTCGGGGCTGTTTAATGGGAAGAATCAACCACAAAAATGGCTAGGATAGATCTGCTGGGGCCCTTGGCTCTTTGGTGCCAATAAGCCATCGGGAATTTCTAAACAGCGAGCACGTTGTTGACGTAGCATCGAGAGATATGAAAGAAATAACCACGCGCATTGAGAGTGTTTTTTGATCCATTGTCCGGAAAATCATGTGTTACAACTATCAGGGTGTTGAGCGAGTTTGAGAGAGTTACGAAGCATCCTTCGGCACTAAAGCATCGGGTTCCTACCATTTGATACTACGTTGACTGAGAAAATGGTTTATCATTGGCCCAATCATCAAATCCTGGACATAAGCCACGTGAGAAATGGGTTCGATGTTCGCGTTTCGTTCCCCCACTGTCCCGTTTCGACCCCAGAACGGAACTTGGATGCCGTGTCATCCTATTTAGCGCAAGAAAACTTGCTCATATTGCGCGCCGGCCCCATCACCCGGAAACAAGCATTCATGAGCCGCAGTTGCCATTTTCAGGATGCAATCAAACAAAAAGCTTGAGTTTCTCTCTACGAACTGCTCCACCATCAGCATGAACTTGCTCAGCAACTTGTTAGCAAACGCTGATTAAATTGCGCAACACTGTTACTTTTCCACATCATAAACTCGCAAAACATCCACCGCGGACATATTTTGCAGTCTTCACTCCATTCTCAACTTTACCGAACTGAACAAAGAACCAACGAACGACTTTCGACCCTGGTACCGAGATCCTAGACCCAATTTTCCCATCACTCCCATTGAAAGGATCACTCGAGTCAACTGCCCACGATGATGGACATGAATATGGCAACCACAACCGCCATGGCGATGGCAACTTCGACCAGCATGTCTGACAGCATGTCGATGTCTATGGAAGATATGACGATGACGTTTTTCGAATCCTTCACCAGTCCTCTGTACTCCATGTCTTGGTCGCCAACAACGAAGGGACAGTACGCCGGCACTTGTATTTTCCTCATCAGCCTCGCCTGCATCCTGCGATTGCTCTTGGCCCTCAAGCCAATTCTGGAAGAGCGGTTCTGGAGAAACTACCCTGTATACGGGTCAGACAAAGCTTTAGGCCAACATGGTGATGTCGATCCTGGAGCGGGCGTCGCTGTAGTACGGAGAGACATTTGTAGTCGGTGGAGGGGTTGGAGGGCGGGTGCTTCTGCGGCAAGAGCAACCTACGAGGTCATCATTGGCGCTGTTGGATACCTTCTGTAAGCGCTTTTTGTCTGACCGTTAACTCCGGAAATGCCTACTAACCTATCTCCAGAATGCTTGCGATTATGACGATGAATCTTGGTTACTTTCTCTCCGTGCTTGGTGGGATCTGGCTTGGAACCTTTCTGATTGGCGGTCTCGCCAGCAGCAGTGCAACCATCCACTGCTAAAAGCACAATATTGGGGCCCACATAGAAAGAAACGCGAAACGACAATTGGGTTGGGAAATCATTTACCCAGTATCAGTTCTTATTGAAATCAATCGCTCACGGATCTACTACAAAGATGCCAGAGTCTTAATCCATCACATCTCTTTCAAGCCGTCTCCTTGGCTTCTTCCTCCTCGAATTGAACCAGAACTGTTCCAGCTTTGCAGATATCCTAGCTGGTGTTAGCCAATGATATGTACGTTGATGGAGAGGATAACTTACACCCTCCTTATGCGCCAACTTCTTCACCACGCCATTTTGAGGCGATCGAATGACCGTCTCCATTTTCATTGACTCAATACTGCGATGTTGGGTCAGTTCTCAACGGCTCCATGGTCATCCGAGCGAATTAAACTCACACTACCAATGGGGCTCCCTTGGCAACCTTCTGGCCCTCCTCAACCTCGTTCTTCAGGATCTTGCAAGGCATCGGTGCTACCACAGATGCAGTAATCTCCTTCAGTCCAAGGGCCTTCTCAAACCAGGCTGGTGGCATGAGGGCGAGCTCCGTCTTGACGCCGTGTTGAAACACCACGATCTTGGTATCTTGTTCGCTCTGAGAATTCTGCACAACAGTAGACTTGACTCGCTCCGCAGGAAAATACGTCGTTAACGCGCTCGTTGTTGGTGTGTTTGAGAGAGTTTTGCTGACAAGGTTCTCAAAGACCTCTGGCGTCTCTACTCCCTTTCTTGAAACTCGCGCAGTGAATAACTGATGCGCTGTTTGTGTAATGCTTACGTCAACAATCTCCCCCTCCTGCTCGCTGTATGAATCAAGGACCTTGAAAGCAAGCTTGCGTTCTCCTAATGTGCTTGCTTCCCCGAAGCCCAGACTACCGCCGTGCGGCGGCTCGTTCACAAGCTGTGACGAGAGAGAACCCAGGGCAGCCTGAACGAATACCTCATTCTCGATCGGCCTAGGCTTGAAGAGCTCATCTCTCCACTTCTCGATAAACCCTGTCTCAACATCGCCCTCAATAAAGGCCGGCGATCTACATAGCCGCTTGAGAAACTCGATGTTTGTGCTAAGGCCAACTACCTCGTAGTCACGGAGAGCGAGCTCCATGCGGCGAATGGCGGTCTCTCTGTCCTTGCCCCGGACGATAAGTTTGGCAATCATGCCATCGTAAGCCTCCGAAACGGTATCTCCCTGTACAAATCCAGCATCGATGCGGATGTCCTCGCTCGTCTTGGGTGTTGTGAGGTGAATCAAATTTCCAGAGTCGGGCATAAATCCTTTCTCGGGGTTCTCGGCATAGATGCGAGCCTCAATGGCGGCACCGTGTTGCTTGATATTTTCCATAATTTCTTCCTGTGTCAGGGGCAACTTCTCGCCGGCGGCGACGCGGAACTGCCACTCAACAAGATCGGTACCTGTGACCATCTCGCTAACAGGATGCTCGACCTGAAGACGTGTGTTCATCTCCATGAAATAGAATTCACCGGAGTCTCTGTCCAAAATGAACTCGACGGTGCCGGCGCCAACATAGTTGACCGCCAGCGCAGCTTTCCTTGCCTTCTCCCACAGGTCTAGGCGCGTCACATCATCCAGGTCTGGCGCGGGAGATTCCTCGAGGATCTTCTGGTGTCGTCTCTGAACACTACAATCGCGCTCTCCCAAGGCAACACAGTTGCCCAGCTTGTCGGCAAACACCTGCACCTCGACATGGCGGGGTCGCACGATATACTTCTCGACCAGCATGACCTCGCCGCCTTCACCGAAGGATGCCCGTGCCTCAGCTCTGGCACTGCGGAGCTGGGCAGCAAACTCGTCTTCGGTCAGGACGATGCGCATACCCTTGCCACCACCGCCCTTCACACTCTTCAGCAGTACAGGGAACTTGATGTTCTTGGCATGCTGTAACAGCTGATCTTCTCCCTGCTCCGAGCCATGGTATCCGGGCACGCAAGGAACACCTGCTGCTGTCATGATCTCCTTGCTCCGCGCTTTATCACCCATATCCGCCATGGCCTGAGCCGGTGGGCCAACGAAGACAATGCCCTCCTGCTCGCATCGTTCTGCGAATCTGGAGTTTTCGGACAGAAATCCGTATCCGGGATGCAAGGCCTGGATGCCGTGTTTCTTGGCCAGGGAGATGATGCGCTCGCCGTCGAGGTACGCCCTCGGCTCACCTAGAGCAAGGGAATGCGGGGAACAGGCCGCGTGCTGGCTGGGGCTGTCGGGATCCGTGTACAAGGTCGTCGTCCGGATGCCGAGTCTGTCTGCTGTTTTGTGGATTCGCAGGGCAATCTCGCCGCGGTTGGCGATCAGGAGGGAGGTGATGGGAGTAATTTGGCTCGAGGCTGGGATCGACTGGCCGGCCGCAGAGGAGAGCAGACGAGGGAGGGGTCGGACGAGCCGATGCTTCGCTTTCATCGAGCGCATGATGGGCGGCTGTTGGCTGGTTCCTGAATTCTTGAATCCGACAGTCAATTGATTATCTTGGAAAGAGAGTGTAAGGACCTGAAGACGGAGATTGAAGGAATTGCGAGGCAGCTGAACAATGGGAGTCGGCACGCACCAGACCCAAGACCAAGACCAAGACCGAGGTGTTGAAGGAGCTTCGGTTGGTAGCGCTTGTCTATGCGGTGCCGACAATAGCCGGCGGCGCTGAAAGCCGCTGAAAGGCGACCCCAGACCCCAGAAAACCCGGACCGCAGCTGCCGGGGTTCCAAGGCACACTAAATTAGCACCTAGGTACGAAATCTTGAAGTCTTCAGCTACGGACATTCCCTATGATATTTTATGTGGGCAAGTTATTTAATCTTAGCTCTGGTAGAGCTGTGGAAGTTTGTGTCGCTCGTTGGAACAAGAATGATTCCAATAATTGTATGCCCGGTGTTCGCGAGCGATGGTGGCTGTTGCTCGCCGCTAATAGGAGAGGGCGCTCGCCGAGATTCTGCATCGCTGATCCTCCCAAACGTGGTTTACATCCCGTGCGTTTCCAGTGTCTCAACGGCAACCATCAGGTGCTTCATCTGGCTGGCATTATCTTGATACACATCAGTGAAGAATGAAGCTGCTCTGGCGACAGAAAGAGATGGAGGAAGCATCGACGCGCTGATAAGATAAGGGACGAGTATCCTACGTCATCCCGTTTGGGACCCAATCCAGGGCCTGAGTCTGCCCCGCATTAGTCAGCGCCCGAGGGCCATTCTCTGCCCATCTTTCCAGCCCAGCCGGTCAATCTCGCAGAGCTTCACTAGGCGACAGCTCACGATAGCATCAATCACGGCCAGCACCACAACGTCGACATGGAGCAACAAGTGCCCCTCAACTACGAGGCCTCGGCCGGCGACACCAACAAGCAGGTCACCGACACTCTCCCTCAGGAGGTCGTCCAATGCCTGGAGAATGCCCGATTCGTAAGCTCCGAAGCTGCCCCTCCGTTACTTCGATGAAGCTGTTCAGAGCTGCCAGTCGCGAGAACATCTGCTGATTGAGTTGTGCACACATAGCTTCACCTTGCGACATGCACAGACAACATTCCCAACGTCTCCCTCATGAACTATACCTATCTCCCGTCGTCCACCTACTCGACCGGCCCCGTTATCGTCATGACGACGAACCCGGCTTCAAGAAAGACGCATAACCTTCTCTCGAACCCTAACGTCTCGCTGCTCGTTCACGACTGTATGGGCTCATGCCTACCACCACAAACCAATTGCGACGATTGCTGATGTTACGTAGGGTCTTCTCACCGCCCCCCAACTCACGGTCGACGTCCCTCCGGCGGCAGCCCCGGTCCCGAGCACCGCTCCAGCCTTGCCTCCCTGCTTCTCAACCTCAACACCGCCGCGGTGTCTAGCATCAGCGCCACCATCAACGGTACTGCGAGACTAGTCGACAACGGCTCCGACGAGGAGAAGTTCTACCGCGAGGCGCATCTCGAGAACAACACCTTCGACGAGGGCCAGACATTCAACCCCAGCGTGCAGGCTGAGGACGGCGGCAGGGGATGCTTTGTTGCGGGAGAGGAGGTGAGAGTTATTGTGGTCACCATCAAGGAGATGAGAATCAGCGACTGGAAGGGTGCGGTACGGGATTACGTCCTTACGGAGGGCGCTCCTGCCACCCAGGTCAACGGCGTAAGGTAGGATAAGTCTTGCAATGCGACGACGTTGTTGATTGAATCGGGTGCCTGTGAATGTATGTGCAATATTGACCGCCCCTTGACTTGAATGGCAAACCTTGAGTCGAGAGTTACGATCAAAGGCAAGCAACCTTCATCCTCAACATGGGGATCGTGCAGTATTAATTCCATCATAGTTGACGCGTAAGTTTACCGTAGATGACGCCGATTGGGACAAGGGACCTCCCGCAACTCGAAGACAAGAAACTGGCCATGCAACGTATCATGACCGCCAATCAAGCCTACACGGTAACGAGAGGTTTCAACTCAGCACCGCCAAAACGGCGGCCGTTCAAGCGGCTCGGGATAAGCCGTCGGCGGCGCAACTCCCCCCGGCAACAAGTCCTCCACACCGCGGTAGATCTTTCGGGCGGAAAAGAGCCGGGAGCTGACACCTCTTCGTCCAATTCTCCTCCGACCCCTCCGTATCACTGTAAGTCTCTCGGTCAAGCCCCTCCTTCCAAACATGGTAACCCCTTCCCACCCTTTCGTAATATGCATCCCAGAGCGCCTAGCGGGATCGACAAATGCCATGTGTGTTGTTCGGGGACTGTCCGACAGCAACACTGTCTCCGTCGAACCACTACGGCAAATGTGCAATGCAAGCTACGGTTTGATCACCACGCTCTCCAATGAAATGCTGCTGATGTGCTTGGGGGCGAAAACATTTGCCCTTTCAGTCGTAGAGGAGGGGGCTAGAACAAGGTGTTAAGGGCATTTAACCTACACTCCTGGACCATGCAGTAGCCGCAGGTAAGGTTGAAACATTTCAGGGATCATGGCCACTCGGGGGCTTTCTGCAACGGGTTGATATTCGGCAGATTATTGTGAGCTCTGGCTGGACACGTCTTTATGCATATCAAAAACAAGGAGATGCCGCTCAGATTCGAGCATATGGAGAGTCCTAGTGCAACGTCGGCTGCCGCCGAAGAAAGCCCGAGTCTCCTCGGGTCTTCAAAGGCCGATCGAAACTATCATGTCGGCAAATGTTGATGGCGGGGGATATGGAGGCGCAGGATGTGACTCGCCAGGACCATCTAGTCCTGGCGTGAGGCAAATCGCCCATTCTTGACTTGCTTTTCACTTTATCTGTCGTGTATTGGCACACGTTGGGATGTCAATTATATTGTAGGTAGTATTTACGTTCCTGAACGGTTGTCCAGAACCGTTGGAAACAGAGCATCCTCTAAAAACATCATTGCATCGGTTTCCTCGCAGTGACAAAAGATCTGGATGATGTATTAGCGAGATGGGGACTGGGAAAGAGTTATCGAATGCAACTTACACTTTTCCGTAAGCCTCGTTCGCCGGGTCCCGCGACTCTTTGTGGACTCTCTGCAAGAGGGCCCGGGTATCATTCTCGTCCCAACCTCCTTTCGCGAATACGGCCAACGAGTAGTTTTCCAGACCTCCTGTCCGTCAGTGACTGCATGTGCCCTGCAAATCAGAAGGGAAACCTACCATATTCAAGCATCTGGGCGAATTGGGCCCCTTTCCTTACCATCTTCTCGTCGTGACCAACGGCTTGTATCGGCACCAAGTCCGACCAACGGCCAACCTTCTCAAATCCCACATCCGTCAAGATGCTGGGAATCTTGGGTATCGGATCAAAATCCACGCCCGCAATCTGTGCCATCTGCGCAAATCGCAGTTCGAACTCGCGACAGCCTGCCATAGGGCCATTCTTTTCCTCCTCGTTGGTCGGCGCCGAGGGCTCGTCCGAGCTGCTGTCGATGAGATCAAAGTACCGCGGCCGCACCTCCGCAAACTCGATCATGCCGCCAGGTTTGAGATGCTCGTACGCCTGTTCGAAAAGGGGCTTCCACTCCGGGACGCCGCCACCCACAAGGTTGCGCATGTGCACGAAGTCAAGGCTGTTCTTTTCCCTATCCCATGGATCTGTCGCGTCTTCCACCTCAAAAACGACGTTCGAGGGAACGTTAGTCGGCAACAGTGCTGCTGACAAGTCGACACCCATAATCTTGGCCTGAGGGTACTGCTGCGCCATCTCAATTGCCCAATTTCCCGTCCCTGAGCCAATGTCAAGGATGTTCAGGGGCCGGTCCTTGGGAAGCTTGGTAGCCGTAAGACCGCCTTCCAAACAGAGTTTGAACAGCTGGTGCTGGATCTCCAGGCGGGCACGTTCAGATTCATCGTTGGGCATGAGAAGAATACCGGACCCGTGGTAAGTGTGGCCGTAGGAGCGGATAGGTGGAAGTTCGTCCACTGAAACGGAGCTGTAATCTGAGCCAGCGTCCGAGTCGTCGCCGTCATCATCATCATTGCCGTCGTCGCCTTCGTCACGATCTGTGGTGTGTGCCTGAGCTGCCCGGGAATGCCGCCTCCGGTTCTTGTGGTCGTCCCGGTCTCTGGTTGCGCCGGTACGGTCGGCCCTGCGTCCGGTGCTATTGCCGACGCCGGGGTCTCCGGCTACGGCGTCTACGTCTTCCCCCATGGATGCGTTGCGGCAAGCCTGTCCAGAACTTCTAGATGGTAAAGAATTCCAAGACGGCTGTTAATCAAAGTAGCAACGGTTCTTCTGCTGAGGGTATGCTCGTGACCTAAACTTGTGTTTGCTGTTCTCCCTCTAGTGTATCGAAAGTTGGTGGCGGCACTAGTGGACTTTGTACTGCCCAAAAGGTGATTCTGTGTCTTTGGCGGGTGACAGCGCACGTGGAAAGGCTTCAAAATTCCCGCGAAGAGAGGTAATGAGGAAAGAAGGGGCGATGTCCTGAATGTGTCTCAGACACGGGCAATGTTGGTCTGGCGTACGTCGAATGGGTCAAAGGGTAGCGGATGCCTTGGTTTTGTCTTCCTTGGGGTAAGGTAGGAATTGGTTGATGGTGTTGTTGGTAGTCGGGAGAAAGTGGCCGAGGTGGAGGACAAGGGAAGCCGGTTTGGTTTCAATGCTCGGCGTGCAGATAAAGGGACCGACACAAGGAAGACAAAGAAGGCTTGGCTGAGTACGCAGGACAAGACCGGACGAGAATGGCAAGGGCTAACATCAAGATTAAGGGGGGGGGGGGGATGGGAAGAAAAAGAAGAAGGGACGGCTGGGCTCATGAAGGGAGTCAAGAGTCGGAGGAGCAGTGACAGTGACAGTGACCGGCCGCGGAGACTCGGCCGGTCTTTTCTCAACGGGAATTGTAAAGTACTTGGGCGTGGGATTTGCGACCTGTTGGACTGATCCTTGAAATGTATGGAATGACCACGACGCCCTTCTTTTTCTTCTCTTGGGCTGGCCTGCTACTTGCTGCCAGGACCTGACGCCATCAAATCACTTTCACATCCCGGTCGGAGCACCTACCCCCAGAAGAGTGGGAGCTTGGATGCCATGATTGCCATGGATGGGCCGCCATGGAACGTGGGACGTGGTGGATGTGTGTGCCGCCTGGGGCACATGAAAATCAGCCATACGGGGGTTGTTGATTGACATGGCGGAGGGGAAGAAAAAAAAAAATTGTTCGAGAACCCCCTCTCAAAAGTCCGATGTGCATGCAGCGAAGAGGGGACAGGGAAAAGAACGGGGCGGTTAGGCTGTGGCTGGCGCTGGTGTTACTGGCTACAGCGAAGAGGGATGGGTTGCATGTGCAGGAGAGAATCTATACTGCGACCTAAGCTTGCTGCACTAAAAGGAACATGAGAACGGCATCTCTCTGGGGCCTGTCCGTTGCAATCAAGAGCAAGGATGAACTGCAGGGGAGAAAGAGGTGATCAGGACCGGGGCAGACATGGCCTGGCATGGCATGGCCTGGTTCGGAGACAGACGAAGCATACAAAACGCAGGCAGGCTTCGTGTTGGTGAATGTCTGATGAGTGCAGCAGAGAGGGATCGCCAGGGCAAGTTTCCTGTCTCCTCGGCCAGGGACGAGGAGACAGGAAACGCAAATCGGGCAGCCAGTCGAGTCAAAGTCAGAAATCAAATCATACCATATCCCGGCTCTTCAACCGTTCGCCGTTGCTCTTTTCCAGTCAGATGGTGAGATTTGAGTCTAAGCGCCCTACGCGTACGTATGCCATCTCTGCGACCAAACTCTCTCATCTTTTTCCGCACATGGGATCCCTATTCTCGCCCGTTCAGTATCAAAGGTCAATCTCATCTCCCTCATCCCGTCCCGTCCATCCCACGCCACTTCGTCGCCTCACCCACCCTGGGCCATAGCGCACATCAGCCATAACATCACCTTGTTCTAACCTCCTGGCGCTTGAACGCCCGTCTCTGCGTGCGTAGGTTGGCATATCTGGCGGACTACCCATGAGATCAACCATCCTGATCCAAACTCAACGCGGCATTCACTTCATCACCTCGCCCGTCTCACTGCTCTTCTGCGGGCACTAATTCGTCACTATCAACGGCCAGATACCACCCAATACAGCCCAAAAGATTCACTACATGGCGGGATGCAACCTTGGTCGGCAGGGCGTTTCTACAGTCTGCTTCCTCTACCACTAGTGGTTGACTAGAGGCACAAATCCCCCTGGTCTTCAACCAAACAAGTCCCACACCATAGATCGCTGGTTCCCTGTCGCCCTTCTGCAGGAAGCCCGGCCCGAAGCGGTAGACCACCACGAAGACCTCACGCCGAGAGTCTGAGAAAGAGAAGAGCAATGCCCGTCGCTATTTGACTATTTGATCACTCGTTCGCGGCGCTTCTCAATCTTGCCTTGCCTCTTGACTGCGTAACATGCAGTGTCCTCCTCGGAGATGGCACAAACTACAACCCACCTAGCTTACTGTACCCTGACGGCGCAACTCGCGGCCAATCCCCAATGCACGGAAGCTTGCGAGAACTCTGTGGGAGAAACTGCTGCCCACCCTCACAAAAAAGCCACGAGGGTGACTTGCCTACCTGGGGAGCCCCAACCGCCCAGGGTGCCACGCTACATTTTGCTTGTCAAATGTGGTGATGTGATGCCCATGCCATTCGAGAAGGAGGAGCCCGGCACATGCTGGAAAATGAAATT